CAGGATTTCACCATGTTGACCAGGATGGTCTCGATCTCTTGACCTCGTGATCCACCCGCCTCGGCCTCCCAAAGTGCTGGGATTACAGGCGTGAGCCACCGCGCCCGGCCTCTATGACCTTTAAAATGCTGAATGTAAACAATTTTATTGAGGCATAAATTTATATACCATAAAATCAGTCATTTTAAATATATAATTCCCAATTATAAAAAATGATTCTGTTGGGAGGCTGAGGTGGGTGGATCACGAGGTCAGGAGTTTGAAACCAGCCTGGCCAACATAGTGAAACCCCATCTCTACTAAAAATACAAAAAAATTACAGGCATGGTGGGGATGCCTGTAATCCCAGCTACTCAGGAGGCCGAGGCAGAAGAATTGCTTGAACCCGGGAAGCAGAGGTTGTGGTGAGCCAAGATTGTGCCACTGCACTCCAGCCTGGGTGACAGAGCAAGACTCCATCTTAAAAAAAAAAAAAGTCTGGAGCAGTAGTTGGAGAACAGTGAAGAGATATTCAGGGAGCTGGGGAGTCTAGGTAGATGGATTAAAACTTGGCATCAGCCGGGCATGGTGGCTTACACCTGTAAACCCAGCACTTTGGGAGGCTAAGGTGGGCAGATCACGAGGTCATAAGATCTAGAATATCCTGGCCAACATGGTGAAACCCATCTCTACTAAAAATACAAAAAATCAGCTGAGTATGGTGGTGTGTGCCTGTAGTCCCAGCTACTCAGGAGGCTGAGGCAGGAGAATCACTTGAACCTGGGAGGCGGAGGTTGCAGTGAGCCGAGATTGTGCCACTGCACTCCAGCCTGGTGACAGAATGAGACTCCATCTCAAAAAAGAAAAAGAAAAAGAAAAAAAAATTGGCATCAAGGAAAAAGAAGGGGAGAAGTGGCACAGATCTGGGAAGAAAGAACAAGGTATTCAGGAGGTGATGAAGGGGTGATTATCTCACCTGCACATCGAGCTCCTGGCTTTGAGGGTCTTGTAAGAAGAACCGGAACGCTTCCTCCCACACTGGGCAGTTGCTGCTGTAGACAGCCTAGAGATGTAGAGGAGGAGGGATTAAGGGTGTATACCACAGCACCACTCCTGTTTCTCCAGAAAACCCCTGCACTTAACAGGCATTCTAAAGGGGAGACCATCCCAAGAGCAGGCCTCTACCCATCCCACCTGGCGCCCCACAGTGATGTCCTGGCCCTCACCTTGCTCTCCTGAGTCACATCCTGAATTGACAGTTGTACCATGGGGTTGGGTTCCTTATTCCCCTTCTTCAGCTGTGGGGGTACAATTCAGAGGTTACCATCTTGGGGATTTTGGTTTTGGTGAAGAAAGGTGGGATCGTATCAGAAACCTTTCCCTGAGATGGATCTGATCCCCTCCCTGGGACCCTTGTGTTACATGTTGATACTTCTGGAGCAAAGCAGGCAGGGACATTTGTATCCTCAGCAAGGCAGGGTGGGAAAATGCTACATCCAGGGCTCCTGTTCACCCAGCAGAACTCACAGGAAGATCCTGGCCCCGATCCAGGTAGACAACTAAGATGGCAGCTGATGGGGGCTCTGGTCGAGAGGAGACTCCCCGATTCCACTGTAGAACCTGTGGAGGGGTAGTAATAGATCTTGGTCCCTGCTCCGAGTCCCCTACACTTCCAGCTACCTGTTTCTCCCCTGTCAGCTTTCTGTTTCCCATGTGGCTTACCTGCTCCAGTTTCTCTGCATCTGACAAAAGCGACAGCCATTCTAGCCTCAAGTGAACTTGGCCTTGCCCACCTTGTAGAGGGAACCACTAGAAGAAATGGAGATGTAGTAGAGATCAGATACCTGCCCAACTCCTTCCATACCAACTACTGTCTGCCCAAAGGGTGAGATGAGCCCCCACCTTCCTGTTTTCCCAACTTACATCATCCAGGACGCCAGCCTGTAACACCTTCCCTACATCCAGCTTCATTCTGGGGGTCGGGAGGGGAGAGGGTAGTGAGAGGGAGAAAAGGGGAGTGTTGTAATTAGCAGCATGTCAATGGCCCTCCACTCACCCACCAAGAAATGACTGGTGGATCTCAGACTCCCTTCTTCCTCTCAGGAGATATTCGCCTGCGTATGTGAGTGTGTGCATGGTAGGAGTTGGGGTGGGGAGGTTAGGAAGGAAAATTATACATGATTCCGAGGCCCAAAAAGTGAGTATAATTACCTCCGGAACCTCGGTAGCATGGGCTTTAGAATTCTAACAGGCAGAGTCTCACCTGCCCAGAAAGTCATCTTTATCTGGATCCTTGTCGAACACCTCCACTTCAATCTCCTGCCCTGGTACCTCGTGTACCATCACCTGGGGAACACAGAAGGCTGAGTGTCTCATGGGGCTGCAGCTGTGAGGATCATCCAATCAGCATCTTCTCTCACAACCTCCTGGGGCTTCCCCATTTCACACAGATGCTCAGCTCTCCCACCTCGTAAGTCTCTCTCCACTGGGGGTTGAGTTCTTCATCGATGACACGACTGCAGAATGTCTGGGTACCTAAACGCACAAGCGCATAGGGGTCTGACTTGCCCTCAATCAGGCCCTTCACATATTTGTCCTTGGAACTCAGCCCTCGAGCAGCCAGCAGGTGAATTCGAATAATGCCCTGGGGGAAGGAATCAGATGGTGAAAAACCAAAGACCCACCATGGGGTTCCTGAGAACTGAGAGAGGGATGTATCTAGTTGGGGAGAGGCCATACCCTGGGCAGAGGGGAACGTAGCTGAGCCACATCTTGAAGGTCAGGCACAAGGGGCACCAGCAATCGGTTGGGCAACACGAGGAAGGCTGCGATGGAGTCCATGATCATGGTGTCAGAGAGGGAGCTGAACGGAGGAAGAGGAGGAAGTGGGTATGGCCTCAACTTCCAGCCTTCTCCCAACCCCAACTATGTTTCCCACAGCCAAGGGAGACCTAAAGCTGTAAGAAAGTCCTTTTGTGAAAATCCTTTGTGCTACGCCTCTACCCTAATTCCCTGCCTACTGTTCTCTCCCGTCTTCACTGCCATCCCCATTGCCTTTTGCAGTCTTCCGCCATCTTCTTTCCCTACCCACTCCTCCAACCTGAAGAAAAATCACAGTATCAGACTTTCCAGGGGTATTTGTCTTCGCTCCCCAACTGAAGTTGGGGCTCCTAGAGGACACGATCAGCATCTTTGACTGCTCTGTGTCCCTCAAACCCCCAACCCAGCCAGCACTGGAGTGCTCAGCACGTGCTGAGTAAGTCCTTGATACCTAAGTCCTGGGATATCCAGCAGGTTGGTCATCCCTGTCCAGTTGATGTCTAGGGTCTGGAGGGAAAGAGTAGGGGTCAGGACAGATCCTATGGGGTGTGGTCATACCCATCCAACAGTCACCAGAACCCCTCAGCCTTCTTGTCAATTCCCTTCTCATTCCCCATAGCTGACTGCCCTCATCCTCCCAGCCCTCTCTGTTCCCCTGCTTCCCCATCCCCTTCACAGTTCTCCCTTACCGGGCGTCGGATGAAGAACATCGACACAGCCCCCACGATGGGAAGGTCCCCAATGAGTGGCTCCAGAATCACCCGTAAGACCCCGTGTAGCTGAGGCAAGAAGAGAAAATCAAAGCCTTTCCCCAGAAAAATCCCTCTTCTTCCTCCCAGACTTTCCCGGCCTTGGTCCTTCCAACCTCAAACTTCCCCGTATCCCATGAAACTCAGGACAAACACTCCCTATTACGTGGGCCCCTGACATCTGCCCTACCTGCATGCCCTTGATTCCTGCTTTGCAGAAGTATTTCTTCACTTCCACATCAATCTGCACATCACCTACATAGCTAGGGGTTGGTAAGGAAGAGAACCAAGAGGGTTAGTCCTTGGCCGAAGTTGAGGGGTTGGGGAGTGAGGTAGCCTGGACTGACCAGGACACATTGACGGGGAAGCAGTAAGAGTGGTGAGTGGTATTACCTGATGTTCAAGTCCAGCAGGATCTGCTCTTTTCTCCGACCACGGTGAACCTTGACTCCGATGATGCGCAATGGCTGTGGAGAGAGAAATTCCTGAGAGGGGGAGGAGAGGGGGAGGGAGAAGTACCTCTTCGGTCCACTCTGGGCCACTCACCCTCCCTATCCCACCTCCTCCCTTTCTCTCCTCCACACATACCTTTTCACCCAGTTCCACTCGTGTAAATGTAAATGTTTGCAGATGGGGATTAGATCCCCGAACAGCCGGGGCCACAGTTTCAGCCAGAAGCTTCTCCATGTACTGGCCCAGGAAGGGCCAGACCTGGGCCACAATCTGGGAGGAAAGAGAGACGGTCAGAGGAGAGCCCAGTCTTCCCTCTCAAGGCAAGTTCCTTCAGGATCCTCCCCATGGAGCGCACTGGGGGGATGACGCTGGGTCTGGCAAGAAGAAACAAATCCCCATCCTCCCCTCTTCAAGACTAAAAATCAAATCAGTCCTCACCTTATTGAGCCATTCAGCCTTTTCCACGTCTGGGAAGCTGACCTGGAGGTGGGGAAGGCAGAGACAGTGATGTGCACACCCTCGACTCTGGTTTCCTAAGATGCTGGTGGGATGCCGCAGAGGGAGGGAGTAAAGTGTGACGCATTCCTCACATTCTGGGTGGGCGAGGGGCTGGGATGCCCAAGAGCTCATTCCTCACAGAGTTTGGGGGCTGAGGTCTCTTTAATAAGGGGAGCTGACAGGGTAGAGGCCACACTGTTGCTCTATGGATTGCTCAGGGACTTGAAAAATGACAGCTGCTAAGGCGGAGAGGAGGGGGAGGAGGAGAAGGACACATTCTTTTTGGAGGGGGAGGTCCAGTCAAATCAGAGGGAATCCTGACATTTAAAAAGTCCTGGTTCCAGGCCGGGTACAGTGGCTCACGTCTGTAATCCCAGCACTTTGGGAGGCCTAGGCGGGTGGATCATGACATCAGGAGTTCGAGACCTGCCTGGCCAACATAGTGAAACCTCAGCTATACTAAAAATACAAAAATTAGTCGGGCATGGTGGAGCGCCTATAGTCCCAGCTACTCGGGGGGGCTGAGGCAGGAGAATCACTTGAACCCGGGAAGTGGAGGTTGTGGTGAGCTGAGATGGTGCCACTGCACTCCAGTCTGGGCAACAGAGCAAGACTCCGTCTCAAAAAACAAAACAAAACAAAACAAAACAAAAAAACAAAATTAGCCGTGGTGGTTCATGCCTGTACTCTCAGCTACTCCGGTGCCTGGGGCAGGAGAATCGCTCGCTTGAACCCAGGAGGCAGAGGTTGTGCTGAGCCATGATGGTGCCATTGCACTGTAGCCTGGGCAAATAATGAAATTCCGTCTTAAAAGAAAAAAAAAAAGAAAAAGTCCTGGTTCCTTTTTCCAGCCTTCCTTAATTCCCCTCAGATGGGGCTTCTAGAGCAGGAAGGTGAGGAGTGAAGCAAGTCCTCGAGTCAGGGAGGGGCCAGAAGATCTAATCAGGCCTGAGTCTCTGTGGGGTTTTTGGTGGTTTTTTTTTTTTTTCTTTTCCTCTCTCTATGTGACTCCTTTTAAGGGAAAGGACACCTGAGCTTTGTATTGGGGGTGGGAAGATTGGTTTCCATGATGAGGAGGAGGCAGACAGTTGCTGACGGGGCTACAGGTCCCCTAGGGCCATTTCTCCCCCTTTCTCCTCCTGTTTCCAGTCCAGGGCCTGGGAAGCGTGGCTGTGTCTGCCTAGTGTCAATTTTGATTTCTCTCTGCTGCCATTCTTCCCCTAGACTGGCACCTCTGCTGGGAGGGACCGGGTAACGGGCTTTGCGTCTGAAAGGCTAGAGAGCAGGCATCCGCCTCAGCACAGGAGACGCAGTCGCCGCAGAAACAAGGGTCTCGGCCCCAAAGGAACAAACGCAGCCCACAGTCCGGAAAAGGGTGTGGCCGGCCGGGTGTGGGGGAGTGTGGGCCGCGGGCACTGCAGCAACCGCACCACCTCCTCCCTCACCCCGCCCTCCGTCCAGCAGCCGCCTCTGCCGCGCTGCAGCCTGGCTGCTGGAAGCTTGAAGGCGGCTGCCCGACGGCCTTCCAAGGGCCGGCCCTGGGTCCCAGCGGGTACCCGGGGATAAAGGCAAGAAAAGGGAGAACCATATGGCCTTAAGTAGGTAAAAAGTCTCGAGGAGGATGCGAGAGGCGAGGGAAACCCTCGAAAAGTAACGGGGCCAGGATTTCTGGGAGCAGCAAAGGCGCGAGTGGCACCAAAAGCAAGAGGGGCGTTCAAGATGGTTTGGCTAGGAGGGAGAGCTTCGGCTGAGATGGGCTTCCCAGATGTTGTTACTGCTGTTGCCCAAGAGTAGAGGAAGAAGTCCTGATTCTGTGGAAGGATCCAGTCTGGGCGTGCGAAGGGGTGGGTGGGGAGAGTGAGCAGTCGGTCCTAAGAGTGGCGCGTCCAGTAGGCAGGCGGCTAGTGGGGAGAGAGGGGAAAGTGTGGGGCCCACTGTCCCAAGGCAGGGAGCTGACTCTAGGCATAAGGAGAGAAAGCCCCAGGCGGAAGGGGTGGAAGGGGGCTAGGCTGCACCGAGGACCAAGAGTGGTCGCTCACCCAGGCAGGTAGCTCTCGATGACTCATATAAAGAGTTTTCGCCGTGAGCTGCTCCTCGTCGTCCAGTAGCTGCCTCGCTGCTCGAAGGCTCCGTTCTTTCTCGTCGCGGACCCGGCGCCAGCCCAGGTAGAGGGCGAGGCCGAAGAGCACGAAACCCACGCTGAGTCCCACTGCCCCGGCCAGGTACACCGGTATCAGCACCAGCAGCCGCCTTCCGAATGAAGTCAGCACCGCCAGGGCCTCACCCGCCGCGCCAGGGCCAGCAGGTTGGCCCCCGGAACCTGGGTCTGGCTTTGCGTGAGCAGCGGGGGGCTGGTCAGTGGGGTCGGAGGGAGCAGAGGGCTGGTCCAAGGGGCTGGGTCTGGGGCCCTCTCCTGGAGACCGCTCCATTGTGTCACCTCTGGGAGGATCCGCCCGACCCGGGGACCGGCTGGAGGTATCCCAGTCTTGCGACCAGCTCCCCCCGGCAAAACGTGATCCCCGGGAGGGAGGAGGGGACTTCAAGCCACGCCCCTCCTTTCTGGCGATTTGGGTTGGTCTGTGCTGCACAGACCAAGGTGGAGTTAAAAGGTTGAAACTCCTCCTCTCTTCCGCGGGGAAGCGAGAGGGTTTCTGATAGGTAGGGCCTCCCTGATTGGGTCCGAAGGACAAGATGGGAGGTCTGGGATGGCGGGAAAAGGAAGAAAGAGGCTCAAAAGCGGCATTCGATTGGTAATAAAGAAGAGGAGGCGTGGTGCACCATTTCAGGAGAGGCGGGACCAAGAGCTCCCCCACGTGGGATTGGAGTGCCTGTGGTATGATGTCATGCAGAGCCGCACCGCCAATTTCTGGGTTTTGGAGAAAGCCCAAGTTGTGAAGTTGAGGGGTTGTGGAGCGTCAGGATTTCCCTCTGCTCATTCGGACAATTTGTCAGAATTTGGTCTGGGATATGCATATGTTCTTTTTCCGACTTTCTCTAGTTTTCATACTCTAAGCCCATTCCTTATCCTTCAACTTTTCCCTGCCTGCTCTTAGAAAAGGAAAGGACACGATCGTATTTGGAATGAATGTGTTTGAAGACTGACCCTGTCTATCCCGTCCGCATCCCCTGCCTTGTTTGCGTGGTGTAATGAATGACCCTGGAGAAAACTGGAGAGTCAGAGAAGTACAGAGTTGAGATAATCCAGTCTTCATGGAAAGAGGGGAAAAAAGCAGAGTGAATAGAAAGTGAGGCTTTATTTCTTTTGGGAAATTTCCAAGAGTTGGTAAGTCATCTCTGTCATCGAGGATGGGGTAAGACTAGCTGGCTCCAAAAGGGAGGGGGGCAGTGGAAATTATTACATTTTCCAATAATTTCCTGACCCTGAGGAACTTCTAGGACACTAAAATGAGGAATCAAGAGTAAGGGAAAGACAATTCCCCTTCTCATTTGCCTGAGTTAGAAGAAAAGTTTGCCATACAGTCAGGTGCAGAACTAACGTAGTTCCACAGTGTACTGTGTAGGTTTAGGAAGGAAAAAGTGCAGAGTACACTGATGACTATCGTCACTAGTTAACTGGTCTTAAAGGTGGAGTGTTGTCCTGGGATCTAGGTATGAGGCTAATTGGAAGTTTAAGTATTGGTCATAATATGATTACCTTTACTGCAGTATATATGCGGCATATTATGGAACCCTGTCAAATGATGCAGCAGCAGAACTGGGGTTGATCACTGGGGAGAAACTAGCCATTTGTTAGAGGAAGTGTCTTACAGGATGAGGCCTGCAGCTGATAAATTTTTTCTGGTTCAGCAGAGCATAGATTTCATCAGGCTATATTTACCAAAGCTCCCTAAAGCCTGTCCCTGCTGCTGGGCACAGCAGCTTACGCCTGTAATCCCAGTACCTTGGGAGGCTGAGGCGGGCGGGTCATGAGGTCAGGAGTTCGAGAGGAGCCTAACATAGAGAAACCCCGTTTCTACTAAAAATACAAACAAGGTGTGGTGGCATGCGCCTATAATCCCAGCTACTCAGGAGGCTGAGGCAGGAGAATCGCTTGACCCTGGGAGGTGGAGGTTGCAGTGAGCCGAGATTGCGCCACTGCACTCCAGCTTGGGTGACAGAGTAAGACTCCATCTCAAAAACAAGCAAACAGAAAACCTATCCTAGCCTGAACTCAGTGGCTCACGCCTGTAATCCCAGCACTTTGGGAGGCCAAGGCGGGCGGATCATGAGATCAAGAGATCGAGATCATCCTGGCCAACATGGTGAAACCCAATCTCTACTAAAAATACAAAAATTAGCTGGGCGTGGTGGCGTGTGCCTGTAGTCCCAGCTACTCGGGAGGCTGAGGCAGGAGAATTGCTTGAACCCAGGAGGCGGAGGTTGCAGTGAGCAAGATCGTGCCACTGCACTCCAGCCCGGCGCCTGGTGACAGAGCAAGACCCTGTCTCAAAAAAACAAAAAACAAAAAAAACCTGTCCTGTCCCTGCCCAGCCTCCATCCCTTAAATTTTTACACTTCCTTTTCTCTACTTCCCTAGGGCTAGCAGTATCTCAACTGCTTCATTCAGTTTGCAGAACTATTTAAGAAACAATATTCTGTCTCCTACATCCTCCATATCCCCACAAGTGGGCAGGGAGAAAACGGAAACAAGGAACTTGGAAGAATTATGAGTGATCTGCTCACTAACGGATGAAGCAGAACTATAGCAGGAACATGGATGAACCTTCTTAGAGAGACATCTCTCTATAAACTGAAATTTGCCAAGCACTGGAGCAGGGGAGGAGGTTCCTAAGGATGGGAGAATGGAGAGGATGACCTATGGAGGTTCCTTTCCAAACTTCTCTCTTCCTCACCTCATCTAGATCATCAGAAATTATATGGGGGATGAAACTTCATCCTCAGGAAGGTCTTGTCCCAGCTGGGGCCCAGGAGCCACAGGATCGCCAGCTGCAATGCAGTTACCGACACAAGTAAACAGGGTGGGTCCCCACCCACTGACAATCCTGCTGCCCAGGTGCCACCTGGTGGTGATAAGCAGTAAGTGGACAACAGGAAGGGATGGCCATTTGTAGAGGAAATGTTTGGCCATTTGTTAGAGGATGAGGCCTATAGGAGAGAATACTTAAACTTCCTGGACTTGCAATCTGCATTTATATGTAAACTACAATCACCTTCCAGAGGCAGAGGATCGGATATGGTACTCTGATCTCAGCTCACAAAGATGGGAAGGGCAACAGGATATGAGGAAATTCCTCTGTATTCCTTAGTCCTCAAAAATTACTGCCAAATCAGGCATGGTGGCTCATGCCTGTAATCCCAGGCATGATTTGAAGCAGGCGGGTCACCTGAGGTCAGGAGTTCAAGACCAGCCTGGCCAACATGGCGAAACCCCATCGCTACTAAAAATACAAAAATTAGCTGGGCGTGGTGGTAGGCTTGTAATTCCAACTACTCTACTTAGGAGGCTGAAGCAGAATCACTTGAACCCAAGAGTCAGAGATTGCAGTGAGCTGAGATCACGCCACTACACTCTAGCCTGGGCAAGAGTGATACTCAGCCTCAAAAAAAAAAAAAAAAAGTTACTGCCAAGTAATGATCCCTTTGTTGGATGGCTATATCATTAGAACTTTCCTATGTCAGTCTGGAGTCAGACTGTCTGAATAGATTGATTCCTGGCCCCATTCCTTACTTGCAGAACCCTGGGCAGGTTACTTTTTAAGCCTGCTTTCTCCTCTGTAAAATGGGTACTACAATAATAGTACCCATTGCGTCAATGAGATGTTGCATGTCAAGTGCCTAGCACAGAGCCTTGGCTTATATTAAGCAATCACAAATGTTAAGCCACTATTCTAGAACTCCCTTTTTAGGGAGGACCTTCCTCCACTGGGCAGCCCTTCAAAGATCTGAAGACTTCTATTTGAAGTTTTATCTTGCCAGCCTTTCCTTGTTTCCGGCAAACCCCATTGATTTGTCAATGGCCATCTTTAAAAATTACATTTAGAAGAACACGCTACTAAGTAGTTACACTTAGGCAGAACATAGAACTGCTGTATTTATAATCCATGACCAAGGTTCTACTACCCTTGTGGAGCTGCTAGAAAGATGCCTAGAACATAGGAGGCTCTTAATATTTATAAATTGACATATTGAGGGCTAAGATTATAATTTGTTTTTTTTTTTTTGAGACGGAGTTTCACTCTTGTTACCCAGGCTGGAGTGCAATGGCGTGATCTCGGCTCACCGCAACCTCCGCCTCCTGGGTTCAGGCAATTCTCCTGCCTCGGCCTCCTGAGTAGCTGGGACTACAGGCACGCGCCACCATGCCCAGCTAATTTTTTGTATTTTTAGTAGAGACGGGGTTTCACCATGTTGACCAGGATGGTCTTGATCTCTTGACCTTGTGATCCACCCGCCTCGGCCTCCCAAAGTGCTGGGATTACAGGCTTGAGCCACCGCGCCCGGCTAGGATTATAATTTGTTGTAGCCAACTGGAAGTCCCAAGTTATTCTCATGTGAATTATTGCTAATATAGATCTCTAACATTGTTCTTCAGACAAGCTCAAGACCTAAGCAATTTTTTAGTGGGAGAGTGCTCCAGTGTTTTAGTCAATCCAAGTCACAGACATTTTGAATATAATTTAGCTCTTCCTGTGTTACTGTTGATAAATGGGGTTTTTATATGTTTACCCAAGTTGGGTTTTTTCTTTTTATAATAAAACATAACACTTGGGCACATCACTACAGAACAGAGATTTCTCTAACATAAACACACTAACCAACACTAAGTACACGTGTTCAGTTTGATTCCACCAAATGCTACTATTTTTTTTTCTTACTTTTTAACCAGAGACATTTGAATGGAAAAACTGCTACTATTAACTAAGCCATAATTTTCTTCTTATCTGTGATGACTTAGCAGGTGAGAGAGAGGAAAGCAGCTCCTGTAATCTGGGAACTGGTCTAACACAGCCAGGATTCAGAGATATTAGGGCTGACCTGGTGCTCACAGGTAGCCAATGTGTTCTCTTAGATGCAAACAATCTCACAAAACACCAGCATTGGACAAGGTCACTCGGTGACTGTGATGAAGTGAGACAAAAAACAAAATCGCTTCACAATTTTGTTTAAGCACAAAACAAGGTCTGTGTGCAAACCACAAAACAGGAAACATCCCCTTTCCCAGCTAGTGACTTCATCATCAATTGCAGCTTAGGTTCACTTGTCTGCCCTTCTTCTAGACAAGCTACTCAATCACAGAATTATCCTTGCTTCCTTTAACAGCACCCTATCCAAAAGAACACCCACTTTCTTGAATCTTCCCCAAAATCAATTAACCAAAGTCTAAGTCTTCTAAGTCCTTCCTAATACCCTCTTGCTGAGACACACCACAAATTCCAAATGGTGTGCCCTCTCCCTCACTGCAATGAACATTAAACCAAACTTGTTCAAGTACCAGGTGTATTCTTGGCGGTCTTTAGCTAGAATAAATACATATAAGACATACAATGTCTAAAGTTTCCCAATCTACCTCTTTGGAGATAACTTGGCAAAGAGGAAATAAAGTCAGTCATCATTTGACTGAGAATCCATGTTGGTATCTATGGTTACATTCTTCTTTAAATGCTTGTAAGCCATCTCTTTTAATAGTCTAGAATTGCCAGGTGCAGTGGTTCACGCTTGTAATCCCAGCACTTTGGGAGCCCGACGTGGGCAGATTACGATGTCAGGAGTTTGAGACCAGCATGGCCAACACAGTGAAACCCCATCAGTACTAAAAATACAGAAAATTAGGGCATGGTAGCAGGCACCTGTAATCTCAGCTACTCAGGAGGCTGAGGCAGGAGAATCGCTTGAACCCAGGAGGCAGAGACTGCAGCGAGCCAAGATTGGCGCCACTGCACGCCAGCCTGGG